TACATCTACTTGAAATGAGGCTGTAGCAAGGGGGGGGTCAGTCTCTTTTCCCAAATAACAAGGGACAGGACAAGAGGCAACAGCCTCAAGTTGTGCCAGGGGAAGTTTAGGTTGGACTTGAGAAATTCTTCCTGGCAAGGGTTGTCCCGGGCTGCCCAGGGCAGTGGTGGAGTCCCCACCCCTGGAGGGGTTTCCAAGCTGTGGAGATGTGGTGTGAGGGACAGGGTTTAGTGGTGACCTGGCAGGGCTGGGGGAATGGTTGGAGTCCATGACTGTAAAGGCTTTTCCCAACCAAAATGTTTCAGTGGTTCTGTGATTCTCTGTTGTGAGCTGTATTTATAGCCAAGGAGCAGCACTGGGCTGACTGCAAACAAACCTGAGGGCTGCTGAGCCAAACACCAGCTCTGCCTGCATGATGTTAATTGAAATCCCAAGAAGTAAAAACTTTAATGGGAAAATAACAGAGAATTACTTTTCTCAAGGGCAAAAAAACCACAAAAAGAAAAGCTGCAACAGCACTGTAACGTGTCCCTCAGTGGAGACACCATCACCACAGGATGAGCTTTTAAGTAGCTCTCTCTGTTTAAATCAATGGGGAACCCCCCAGTGCTAATGACTTTGTCCAGTAGTTAGAGGATAAAGAATTTAGCTGTTAATGGAAGTGGGGCCAGGGAATTGTCTCAGTTCAGATCCCAGAGAGCACACATGGGGCTCTGCATTTTAGGACCTTGGCAATGGAACACCTTTACAGCTTTGCTTTCCTTCAGGACCTTCTGAACTGCATTACAATTCATATCACAAAACAAGGGTTTAATTTTCAGACAGACTCTGTTGATGACACTGTTAAAGGAAATGCTCAGTACCTCCATCTTTGGCCACTCTTTTCCTACAGGAGAACTTTGTATTCTCTCTCCATGCAGCTCAAATGCCTGGTTATCCATTCAGGAGAGCTGAAAGAGATTAGCACACAGAAGATAAGCACAAAACCCTTGAAACAGAAGAACGTGGATGCCAGCATGTGTTACAGAGCCCAGGGAAGTGACTCATCACCTCCTGCATCAGAACACTGCTGGCCCTCAGTGCAGTGCCACTCTGCAGCAGGGTGATGCAATACAGCAATCCCTCCTGCACTGAGCTGCCCCAGCAAGGCCCTCACCATCTCCACAGTCAGACTGAGCATTATTCATCTGTCACATGAACCCTAAAACACAACATGACAGTGAGATACAGTCAAAACCATCCAATACTCAGGGAACAGTAAAAATCAGAGGTCACTGAGTTCCTTTACCTATGCTAAGGACCTCTGTGTTTAAACTACAGTTTTGGCTGGTTGTGTAACCTACTTTGACAACCACAAAAAACGGTTGAGGTTCCAGAACTTCTTTGGCAACCCAGTTCCCTGCTTCCATACTAGCATGGTTAGAAAGGTTTTCACAAGCCTCAATGGCTCTTGCCTCAGCAGAGCTGTTACACTTGGCCCTCCTGCAACAGGCCCAGCCACACAGGATGAGCTCTGCTCTGGGAGACCACCAGCACGTCCAGCCCAGGGTGGGATGGATGGGGTTCCTCCAACAATTTTAGGAGATAAGGGAGAGCAGAGCCTGGCTGCTCATTCCAGGTTGCAGCTTTCCTACCTCACAAGCACACCTAACTGTGGGATGAGCAGAGCTAGAAGGAAAAGCCTCTGCCCTTTAGATTTTGTTCTGTGACTTGGGTTTTTCTGAACCTGCTGCTTCCTCCTGATTTCCTGGTTAAAACAAAGAGCCCTTCTCAGTCCTGAGCTCCTTTAAAGCCTCCTACACTTCTGCACTGTGGGATCTGAGCACCATGAAACACAAGTTCTCCTCTCCAAGCTGAAGGTCTTGAGGCTTTTTAGTCTCTCCCCATTTGGCAGCTCTTCCAGCTCCACATTCCCTTCAGTCACTCTCCTCTGGATCTTCTCTAACCCCACCCCATGATGAAGACAGACCCTGATGGGACTGCAAGGAGCTCTAAACCAGCTGGTAGCTGATAGCTTTGGCCATTTCTCCAAGAGCTTCCCAGTGCTCCTGCTGGTGTCATCCACTGATCACAGGCAGCTTGTGTCAGATCCATCACTCACAGTTTCCTTGTTGTCATCTGAGCTTTACCCACCACCCATCACTGCTGATGTTTTAAGTAAAGGTTCCACCTTCTCCAACATCATCTGTTACTCTCTGCAGGCAGGTCAGGGACCAAAATTTTCCTTGGTCCTCCCTGTTATCAGTAAGGGATTTATTGGTTCCTAGCCTAAGCAATAAGGAACTTTTTGGGGTAATTTATTACCTTTGACAGCTCTTCCTCCTTTGTGCTTTGGACTTTCCAAAAAGCTCAAAAGTCAAAGGTGACTCATCTTCAGAGACAAATCTGGCTCTTTCTCTTAGGCTTCCTTCTTGAAGATCATTACTTTGATTTTCACTGTTCCGTTCCTGCTTCTCAAATACATGTATTTTTATGAACTGCCAAACTCCTTAGCACCCTCTTCCTGGACTTTTTTGATAGGAGTTTGCAAACAGATCTTTGGATTTCTTGCAGTTGCTTTTTTCTCTTCATTCTCTTTGCCATTCTAAAAATCTTGAAAGCCTCATAAGAAAATTTTTCTATTCACCTTCACCTTCTGCACCAAAACCTGACAATGTCCTAGTCTAAAAACACCTTGGATGGTCTGCATTCCATTTATTTTGCCCAACAAATGGTTAACTTGTGTCTCCTCAAGGCAAATTATTCTGTCAGTCGTTTACAGAAATGCTTTTTCCTTCTTATCCTGCTTGATTGGGTGGCAGATCCTCAACACAACACTACTCAGGTATTTATCTCCTTTTATTACCATAAAAATACTTCAAATAGATGATCTCCCTTTATTTTGTAGACTTCAATAAAGGTAAATATTCATAGAGAAACATCTTCCCTTTCCCCAGGAGCCACCTCTACTTCTTTTTTCTGTACTAATTAATTAACAAATGAAGTATCCCACCAAGTAAACACCTGCTTAGATCACAACTCTGGGTAGAACCTTGCACTTCCTTCCATTTAGTTTCCATACTAATAGAGACATCATAAATGTTAAGCAGATGCATGGATTATCCTGCTTTCTGTATTGCTTCAATCTTTTTTATAAAAGCCCTGGAACTCTGGTTCCTCTGCCTCTGGTCACCTTCCCATTGATAAAATTTACATCCTTTTGGCAACAGGAGGATCAGGTCGATGCAGATGAATGAAAAGTTCTTCTCATTTCCCCACAGTTTCCCCACAAGAACTGCTTTTCTTGTGGTCATTCTCTCCACACAGTGAGAGACCCACTGATTGCAAAGTTGCCCAAGTATTTTGAACAAGGAGGCAAAAATGAAAATTCATGGTACATGACAGAATCCATAATCCACAAGAAGGCAAATATACACCAGGATTTTCAGGGGTTTCACAGTCCTAGGTACTTATATTGATAAATAAGTATCCCAAGTGTCTCCTGGAAAACAAATCCAACTGCTCTACAGTGTCAGAGTTACACAGGAGAAGAATTCAGAGGTTGATAATGAGTGGCCACAGTGTGGGGAGGCTTTCAGCTCCTCCTTTTCAGATTGAAGCAGGTATAAACTCTAACCAGGTTAAACCTCAGCTAGCAGCACTGTCAGTCTTCATGGTGGCTGGAGCCTGAAATGAAGTTTTCCTCTATCAGCACCTCCTTGTGTCAGTGTGAACAGTGATGCAGAGAGATTTGCTAATGCAAACAGACTGTGGCAGAGGAAAAGATAACTGCAGCCTGTCCCATTCCAAGATCAGTGTCACAACAGATTCTCCCATTAAGCCATTAAAGGGTAAAAAAAAAACCCAGACAAAACTCCCACCTATTTTCCTCCCACCCTGCCAAGTCCCAGTCTTACCACAGAGAGGATCTTCACAAGCTTGCAGAGGACAATCCTTGTCTTCATCAAAGCCCTGACTTCCCTCAGCTCCGTTTGACTGATCTATATATACACTGTAATTCAGGAAGTGCCCTCCTCATAAAAGATTTCCTGTATATGCAAATATATAGAATTACAAATATTTGTGGACATCCTTAGCAAACAATTCTTGTCACTTGCTCAGAAACGGTCACTTTGCTTCCATCTAGTCCTGCTATTTTATTTTAGTGCTTCCTCCAAACCCTGATCTCTGCCTTTTTGTTTTTCCTGCTGTCCCTAAGACTGTAGTTCACTGAAATCCCTTCCCTCTGGTCTGGACTCAAGGACAAGAGCATCACTGACATCTTGGAGGCAGCAATTAGTTTTGTTTAGTGTTTGATTTATGTATCCTGATAGTTTTCCTGAGTGGCAATTTGTTTAACTTACAAGCAAATTAAATTCCAGCTATAATTGCAAGAACTGACTAGTGTATAGAACCAAAAAGTGACTTTTTCTTCTGCTGATTTATAAAAGATCAAATATCTCTTTAAAATATTAAGTCAAAAAAATCTTACTGTCATTTTTAAAAATGTATTTTGATGTGAATAGTTCTCTCCACTTCTTGACTTAATGGTGGCTTAGTGGTATTTTTAAAAATTTTACTCTTTTCTATTCTTATTTGAATTTCTATTGTTTACAAGCAGGAAGTACCAGATTTGTTGCTTAGTTTCACATGCTTAAAATAATCCTGTCTTGTGTGGTACAGCACCTCAAGTTGGAGATCTTACCCATGATCAAAGCCTTCCATACTAACATAAACTTAATAAATATAAATATTCAATTATGCCACAAGAGTTGCTGAATGAAGAATCTCAAACCCAGATAGGTCTGAGGATTCTCCAGGTGGGGAAGTGATGAAAAAAGACTTTTTGGATAGCAAATTCTGCCCTAACATCAAGAGGAGTCCTGTGGGAGCAGAGGACACAGCAGGGTGCAAGGGGAGTGTGGTAGGATTTCCAAGGAATGGAAGTCAAGGGCATCAAGCCCTGCTTTGTGTCCACCTTGCTCGTGCCAGCAGCACCCCAAGGAATATCTGTATAGCTGGGTGAATAATTCTACATTTCTGCTGTGTGATGGAGGCACAAGCCCCTCCAGGAACAGGAGGGCTCAACAGCTTGGGCAGTGCCAGGCTGGTTGTGCTGAGGCTGAGGTCAAACACGCAGCACCCAGAGCAGAGCTAATGCACTGGGATCCACACTCAGAGGTGGGGGATGTTGGGGAAACCCCTCAGCTTCCCTTGCACACCCAAATTCCTTTCACAACGTCACCTCTGGCAAACAGTTATACACTCAACACAGACAGTTATACCCACGTTGTCAGTTTGTTTGTATCTTTGTGGCTCAGCAACACAACACTTCAGAAAAGCTGCTACAAGAAAATTTGCTGGAGGAGCAGTTTCATTTCCTCTGATGTCAGATCTCCCTCTCAGCATCTGAGTCAGACCAATGAAATCTGCCTGAAGCCCATTATGATGAAGTCCTGTGCTCCTGTGATGCCATGGCTGTCATAAAATGAAGTCACTTATTATCACTCTACTTACTAATTCTGGACAGGAAGATGAGAAGAGGATGGTGTGAATCTTCCTTCTACTTTTTCTCCTGGTTTCTGTTTCATTTCTCACAGTCACTACACACTCACCCAACTGCTTTCTTAGATGTACACCTTTAAATACCCAGACTAAAAGGAAGCTCATAAGAAAGGCATGGTGCCATGTTCTATTCCCTGGCAGTGTAAAATGCCACCCCATCAGCCCCAGGAGAGCTACCAAAGGCTTCCTTCCAAGTGTTCTGCCATTGTGTTTCAGCTCCCAACTCCACTTGCTACTCACAGCTTTTCTCTGTCTCTCAACTTGCTGTTGCCTGATGGGTTAAGTCCTACTCCTCTCTGCCCTGCATAAGTTCCAATGCTCATCAGTGTGGCTTTCACAAGCTCATTCTATTCAGATATGCTGCAAAAAAAACCAAACTTCTATTACTTCTGTGCCTATTTAGGCTCACTGAAGGATTTTCTATGCACCAAAGCCAAGCAGAAGGGAAGGGAGGTTAGAACTTTGCAGTGACAGTGACAACCAGCTGCTGGATCAGTCCAGCTCAAATACATTCTGGGCTTCTCAGCTTGATGCCTCTAAAAAAAGAGCCTTTTTTCCTCCCAAAACCCAGACTTTACTGGCATGGGAAAGGGGGACAGTGCAGAAAGACTTCAGACACTTTTTGATACAATCCCTTTGGTAGGTTTGCAGCTGGGGAACGTGGAGCAGACAATTACATCAAGTTCTGTTAGAAAAAAACAGCACTGAAAAGATGATGTTAATTCTCTCATTGCTTAACTTTAGACATGGAGCTCCCACTGTTTCTAACAGGCTGGGTCATGAAGTGATGACAAGAATCAGCCAAAGAGTTTAGGGTTTTTTTGTGATTTTTTTTTTTTATAAACACACAGATTCTTTGATGAAAATATTCACATTATTTTAATTAAGTGTTCTTTAAAAAGTGCTATCTCTTGTCACATATCATTAGATCCTACTGGATGCACAAATACTCAGCTGAGCTTTGAAATAATTAATGAAAATAACAAATATGTACAGAAATACTGAATATGGCATTGTTGAGAACAGGCACTGGGGCAGCTTTCAAGAGAATTCTGACCAGTTGACAACTTAAATTCCACATTATTCAAATATTCTCAGACATCAGCTTCACAGATGAGTCTCTTTTCCTTGTTTGTCCTCTTCACAATCATTGGCCTGCTCTTGTTGGCTGCTGTTCTCCCCAACAAGTCTTCCAAGATGTGATAAATGGTGTAAAGCCCTAGATGAGGAAAAGTGAAGGCTTCACCAACAGTGCATTTATTACTGCTTCTATAGAACACAAAATGATGTTGATTCCTGACAGCTTCACAGCTGGAATGGTGTCATATACAGTTTGCATCTCTAACTGTTTCTGCCTCTTTTGTTCTAGAGATTTTAAAACACACTAAGATGGGTTTATAAAAAGATAAAACAATTTGTGAGAGGGAAATTTTAAATAAGCCTTCTCAAAACAGGTGCTCACACCAACAGGTTCTAGGAAATTATTACAGAAGGGGTGTTCAACACAGGGGGTCAAACTGCAAAACATGATGTCACAAAATACAGCCATTTTCAGGACTATATTTTAAAAATAGAAATATCTTTTCCTTTTACATTACAGTATAAAGCTGTACTGCAACACTGAGTTGTGTTGAAACCAAAGTTCTGCCTGATAAACCTGGTTTTTTTCTGCCTTTTCTCATACTGATTATTCCCTCAGCCACTTAGAACTGTTCTGTACAACTCTACAATTTCATTCATGACTTTTTTTTTGCCTAGAAATTCTTTTCTCCACTGTAGTGAAAAAGAAAATATTTCACCCCATATTACAAACTTCTCCAAGGCTGATTATTTTCATGGCCATCTATGAGTAGTAATAATTATCTATTAATAGAGATGAAACACAAATGTTTAGTTCCAGAGTACACCTCTGCAACTATCCACTAGAGATTTCCCTGCTCCATTTTATTTGCTACTGGCTTATTCTTCATGAAGTTTTCAGCTGACATGAGAGCTCTCTCAGCTGATTTATCATTTTCTGTGCTTTCTAAAAATGGTGAAAAGTCAGAAAAAAAACCTGTGGGCACTTACTTCCGAATAGAATTAGTAAGAGGGATCTTCTCACTGTCACACAGTTTTAATTCAGCTTCTGCTTTGTCATAAAGCTTTAAAGAAAATAAAATGGTTAACTTGAGGAAGGAAAAGAAGGTGAGTAGGACAGAAACCACAGAATTTTTAGGGTGCATTGCACTGGGAAGTATTGCCAACAACTTTACAGCATTATAAAGTAACTGAGGTTGGGAGGGAGCTCAGGAGGAGAGCTCCTGCTCAAAGCAGAGGCAGCAGGGTGCTCAGGGCTTTAGCCAGGCAAATCTTGAGAAGCTCCTGGACAGGGACTGGAAAATTGCTCTTGAATAACTTGTTCAGGGTCTGGCTGTCTTCAGGGTTAAAAAGATTCTCCCAATGCCCACTGGGAACCTCTCATTTCAATTTAGGCTGAGGCTCTTGGAGGCCCATTCCACCCACCCACCAGATGCAGATAAACACAGAGCATTTCACTCACTCCTGAGCACAGGACACAGCATTTAAAAACTGTAGGCAAAGAATGTTAGGAAAAAAGTAAAAAGATATAAATGCTGGGGTCAGTTTTGGGTCCCTTGCTCCAAGAAGGACCTTGAGGGGCTGGAGCGTGGCCAGAGAAGGGCAACGGAGCTGCTGGGGAAGGGTCTAGAGGCCAAGTGTGGGGAGGAGCAGCTGAGGGAGCTGGGGGTGCTGAGCCTGGAGCAAAGGAGGCTCAGGGGAGACCTTCTGGCTCTGCACAGCTCCTGACAGGAGCCTAGGCGGCCTCTCCCCAGAAGGAAAAAGCCACAGGACAAGAGGGAACAGCCTCAAGTTGCCCCAGGGGAGGTTGAGGTTGCCCTGAGGAGCAATGTCTCCCTGGCAAGGGCTGTGCAGGGCTGTGCCAGGCTGCCCAGGGCAGTGGTGGAGTCCCCACCCCTGGAGGGGTTTCCAAGCCCTGGAGATGTGGTGTGAGAGACACGGGGCAGTGGGGACCTGGCAGAGATGGGGAACAGTTGGACTTGATGACCTTCAAGGTCTATTCCAACCAAAACAATTCTGTGATTCTCTGAGATAATTTTGAAACAGAAGTGCCACAAAATACCAACTCACTGCTGCAAAAGGAGGCAAGGAGAGAGTGCCTGAGAATGTCTGGCTTTTTTAACACCCAGCACATGCCCCTGAAAGCCTAGATCTGATCAGAGGCCAGCTCTTCCCAGCAGAGAGCTCCTGCTGGGGCAGCAGAGGGGAGCAGAGTGTGCTCTGTGAGGGCAGGACGGGCTGAAATGCTGCCATCTCCTGGCTCAGCAGCCCTGCTCCCCGCAGCCACTCCCTGCTCCTGGGGCTGCACCAGCAGGGAGAAGGGCCTGGCAGGAGCACAGGCTCATGATGCAGAGTACCTTGGCCCTGCTGGAAGTGCTTTCCTCAAGGTGACTGGAAAAGAAGTCTATAAAAGGACAGAGTTCTCAGAAATGCAGGCAAGGAACAACATAAGGAAATGGACAACTCACTTCTTCAAGCTCCTCCTTTCGCTCAGTGGTTTCGTCCTGACTTAGACTTCCCTGAATTGCTTGAAGTTTAAACAACAGGAGCTTCAAAGCTTCAAGGGGTCTGTGATGAAGACCTTCAGAAAAAGCATCTTCCTAAACCAAAACCCAAAGAATCTGGTCATACTGCAGCACACACAAACCAAACCAACTGGCTTTTGAAGTTTCCTGCAGCAGTTTCAAGGCTAATTTCTACAAGTGTTTCCCTCTACCTGTTTCTTTAAAAAAAAATATCTAAGTTTTACACTGGTTCATCTTAATTTGTGCTGCTGCATGGTCAGGGAAGTCAGTGTAAATATGTTGCCAGGAAGATGTGAAGGAACACAGAAAGACCTCAGCCTTGAGGTACAACAGAAGGATCTCATGGTGACAAAGATTTGCTGATCAGCTAGAAAGACTTGTGTGAAGAGGATTAATATGTAAGAATGGGAATAAAATAATGAATAATCAAAAAAGTAAATTCAATCCATTGTCCAATTCCAGTGCAATGGGTTAAATAAGTAAAAAAAATAAAAATCTGATATCTCTTGAACTTGACTCAGACCCAAGAGTACATCAGCCAAGCAAGGAAATTAGTGGTATTTAATATATCAGTAACAAAGATTTCTTCCTTTAATCCAGGCAGGAAAATTATGATTTAAACAATACATGGAGTGTAAAAGTCCAACTATTCCTAAGCAAGGCATTTTATAGATATGCTTTCTTAATAATAAGATCAGGGATTAGATTATCAGATTTAATAACCAGATGAATTTATCATGCTCAAATACTACTGTTAACTTTCTACTTTATATATTATAGAATTAAAAACCAATTTACAGGTATTCCTCCTGCTGATGTTTACCAGTCTTACAGATTTCGGGCACTCCCAGAAATCAATCCTTCATTTGACTGACCTGATTTTTGTCCTTTAGACAGTCTTCCAAGAACTTCTGTATGATCTGTGCCTTGGGGAAAGGTAGAGCTCTCTCCATGTCCTCACAGCACCCAGGCAACTGGTGCTGGCTAAACCAACATTAAACAACAGAGAAGAACAACAGGTTTATAAATGACAAGAATTGGTTTAAGATGCAGTTATTAGGACAAGACCAGCTCTGTTGTGTTGATGTAACACCAAGGGAGCATTGAGTAGTCCTGGCAGCATTTTGGTGGATGCATGACAAGCACACAACTATTTTTTCCAGTTTTGCCAGTAAAACTAAAACCTGGGTAGATGCAAAAAAAGACAAGGTAAGGATGTCTTTGCTATAACTTATTACACATGGAAGTGTTTTCTTATACCATATATTCCACCATTAATATTCAATATCTAAAGAAAAACAGTCACCTTCTGCTTATTTGCCTTTAGCTTTTATTCATTTGTTAAACATGGATAAAACAAACCAACAGTTCCCAAGCTTCTGGGGTGAAGGGAGCCTGGCAGACAACACCCACAGCCACAGACACTTTGCTGCTGCTTGAAATTCTACTTTTGATTTTTAGCATTTTTGGATCCTGTGGAATAATCCAATATCACAGAATAAAGGACTTGCTTATGCTGGAAGAGACCTTTAAGTCTATCAGTTCCAACTGTTCCCCCATCCCTGCCAGGTCCCCACTGCCCCGTGTCCCTCACACCACATCTCCAGGGCTTGGAAACCCCTCCAGGGGTGGGGATTCCACCACTGCCCTGGGCAGCCCTGGACAACCCTTGCCAGGAAGGCATTTCTCATGTCCAACCTAAACCTGCCCTGGCACAACTTGAGGCTCTTTCCTCTTGTCCTGTCCCTTGTTCCTGACCCCTCCCTGGCTCCAGGCTCCTGTCAGGAGCTGTGCAGAGCCAGAAGGTCTCCCCTGAGCTTCCTTTGCTCCAGGCTCAGCACCCCCAGCTCCCTCAGCTGCTCCTCCCCACACTTGGCCTCTAGACCCTTCCCCAGCTGAGTGACCTGACCATGAAATATCAAACATTGAGCACTAGCAAGAAATCCACTAGTGGATCTTTTCTGTATGTATAGGCCACATCACCACCACTTCCCATCCAGACACAGAAGCATGTGTTAAATACTTTAGGCATTTTCAAGAACAAGTTAGTCCAAAATATGTTTACTTACAGAGGACCTGAAGCAACTTCCCATGATCTCTCTGCTCCTAGTACAGCTGTTGTAGAAGGGCTGTCATCACCTTCCAGATGATTGGAGAAATCTTCAGGTGAACTCTCCAGACCTCTGTCAGCCTTCAAGGTAAGCAGCTCTTCTGAAAAAAACCCAACACCACCATGTGTCCAACCCTTTTCAAGGGCAGTATTTCTACTTTTATGTCATATTTCAAATAACTACAGACTAGAAGTACTTTACACAGAGCATAGGCCCACACAGCTCCTTTGGTTACCTTGGTATGGCAGCATGACAAATAAATCAGGAGTACATGGATCTGCAAGGCTCTGGCCAGTAGAATATTTAAAGTACTCAAGCATTCTTTCTCCTAATTTATGTAAAACAAATATCATGTGCTGCATTCAAGGTGATTTAATGTTTTTACTCCACTTCCATGCTGTAGAAAATATGATTAATTCACAATACAACATTAAATATTACTCATTAATGCTGTGAGTTCTTAGGCTCATTTTTTTCCTTGTTTTGTACAGGGTATTTTATGGTTGGACTTGAGGATCTTAAAGGTTTTTTCCAACCTAAATGATTCTATGATTCTATAAACATTTAAACTTAGTTTATACATATTATTTTTATATATATACACACACACACACACAGAACTTCTTGGAAAAAAATGATAGATTGATATTTATGCTTTCCATAACAAAGAACAAACTATTTTTTAATCTATGAGTAGATGTAGACAGAAGTGAAAGTCATTAACATTTTGAAATGTTAATCTCTTGTATCAAAAGCAAATCCTGCTGATGTTTCAGAAGGCAGAGATGGTGCTTCACCACAGGAGGACCTGCCTCTGAAGAGTGATGGGCCTGCTGCAAAGAGGAGCTACACAGGGAAAGTCTTTACAGAAAGTGAAGGCACCAGATAACCTAAAAAATGGGTTACAAATACCTCCTGCTGAGTGTGCAGAGTAGAGGAAAAAGACTGCATGATAAATTGTCTTCCTACCCAACCTGACAGGTTCATTTACACTGTGTTTAGGAATCTCTCTCTCCCAAGGTTACACTTCATGTAATTTAATGTCATGCTTGAAATTCTATTAAAATATTTATGGAATTACTGTCGTTATCATGGAGTAAGGCACTAAATAAGCCTCTGTAATAAATACTCTCTGCTGTAAAAGAAATGTTTAAATATTGATTTATGTTTGAAAGGTTGCACTTTAAAAGCTGTTTAACTTAGTAAGTGCTTTTGAGTAATTTGTCAAAGGTGGATGGGAATAAATGGGTGGCACAGTGCAGACTAACATGGCTAGAGAGTGGCTGGGCTACAAAAAATGTACTTTGTCTTTAGCCACGTGGCCTCAAAATTAAAAAAGAAATAATTATATGAAACCTGGTTGCCTCCAAACAGCTTTTTGGTGTGGCTTGAAAGGGAGTTATCAAACTGGAAGCACAAACCTGGATTGTCACAGTTGGAACTTTCTTCTGCTTGGTTATCACCTCTCACATCCAGCCAACCATCCTGTTCCAGAAGATGAGAACTGTCTTTCTCTCCAAAGTGTCTTTTTTCCAGGATCTCAAAAGCTTGTGAAGAAGCAGCTGTGCCTCGTGGATTAAAAGTTTGGCCATCACTTTCTTTAACTGAAGCAGAAAAAAGGTTATAGCTCTTCAGCCAGGCTGGGTAGTGAATATTGGGAATACTACTTATACCTGACACACTTAAGTCAGACTTTTGACTGGTGAGCCACCTTGGGTAGTTTTTAACAGGAAAAGTGTCAGAGTTCCCATCAAAACACAAGGTTCTGGAGCTTGCTTTAGAGGAGGCAGAACTGCACCCATCAGGTGTGTGCACACTGTGTTTCCTTTTGCTGGAGTCTTTGTGTGGGCTCTGGTGAGCAGCAGCTTTGCTGTCCTCCTGAAGCCTGCAGCCACTCCTGCTGTGGAGGGATGAGCTTTGGTAGGGGCAGAAAAGTGTCCTCAGGGACCGTCCTCTCCACTCACTGCTCTGCTGCCTTGGCTCCACGGGGGCACGTTGGGCAAAGGGCAGGGATCCATCTGCTGGGAATGCCAACAGATCATCTGTGGCAAGACTGACCAAGTCTGGGTCACACTCACTCTGTCTTCCAGGGGCTGGAGCAAAAGAATCCAACCCCACGTGCTGGTTACAGTCACACGGTGCTGGAAAATAAAGAGGGTTTAGGTGAAGTGCTGAACTTCAAGCCCAAAGGATCATTTGTAAGATCTAAGGTGAAGGAATGGTTTAAAGCTGAAATAAACTCTTCACCAGCAGGCTGGGAATGAGAGTGCAATGCAAGAGAGGGGCTGTTTCTGATCAGAAGCTTGGTGAAACCCTCAGGAAGTGAAATCTGTGTCATACAGGCTCCTGTGACACACCAACTGGACATGCAGAGGAGGTGACATGTGAGCAGAGTAACTCTTGAGGAGATGACATCTCTCACACAGCAGCTTCTCACTTCTTGCAATAATCAGAATGCTTATTTTTTGTTTGGGAAAAGTAGAAGGTATTTTTTTCAATACAAACCATAAACCAGAAGCTAAAGACTGCTAAAAAGCAGCTGTCTTGAGGAGAGAAAGAAAAGTGGGAAGCCAGAGGAAGGTTATAAGCTGAAGAAAAGAAAGCCCTGAATCATACAACATGCTGCTGGAACTGTTGGGCCAGTGCAATCCAGGGAAACATCTGTTTTTCCAGAGAGGAACTTTACCTGGACATGGGATTTTGTTATTTCAGATGTAATAGACAAAGCATTTGCAATATAAAAGGGCCCAAGCACAGTTATCTATTCTAGATCTTCACATTCATGTTTGTATAATTGATTAAGTATTTATTTCTTCAAGCTAAATTGAGTATGTATTTATTCAAGCTAACTAATAATGACAAAAGCCAATTCAACATTCCCCCCTTGGGTTAGATTTCAGGCCCAAAAGTACATTCCCTAAATATCAATAGGCAAGAGGGAAAATTTGTTCTAGGACAAAGCATTTTTAAGGGAGCTCCTTCAATGAATTATATTCTCTTGTTCCTCTGGAAAGGAAATGGAGATTTTTTTCCAAGGCTCCATTTTAAGCAATGATTTATATTGTCTTCAGCGTATAGAATATACAATTTCTATCCCATACTCTGGAAGTTATTGTTGTGTCTGTGAGTGTGGTCAGGAATTGTTGCCAATTCACCAAGCATTTAGGAACAAGAATTAGACAAATATTGCTACCCATGACCAAGCACCCCTTCCTACACCCTGGAGACCTGCAAGGAGTTGTGCAGGAAATATTCCTTCATGAAAACCCACCTTGGGTGAGATGAGGAGTGGTAATACCAATGGCCATGAAACCAAACCAAAAACAGAACAGCAAACCCCCAAACTTATGAAACACCCCATTTGCAGGGACCTACCAGGTTTTCCCTTGGCACGATGCTTTACAAACTTAATTTGTTTGGGAGTGCTTTGATAGATGTGGATTTTTCCAGTGCTTACTCCTGAAGATGTGAGGCTTAAATTAAAATCTTCAATATAAGCCTCCAAAGCCTCAGATGCAGAGCTGTAAAGCTTGTCCTTGTAGTGAATGAAGCTGTGGGAGCAGGGATTACTGCTGTCAATGCTACAGCTTGCTAAAAGAGAAGATATTGTTGAATCAGGAGAGCAGACACTGCTTCCTTCTGTTGAGCTTGCCATGCTTTCCATCCAGCTTTCTGTCAGAATCTTCACTCATCTTTTTCATCAATCTAAATGGAAAAAGGAACAAAACCACAAGAAATCATCTACACTGAAATCTCTCCTCTGACACTGTCACATAACCAGGATATTTAACTTGTTTTCTCATTCTTATTTTCCTAAAAATTACTATTTAGCTGTTCCCCTTGCTGCTTTTCCAAGTAAGTTTCTCATTTATATGTGCACCTCCTAGAAAAGTCAAAGGCAGCAAATAAAGGCTCTAGAAAGAAGACAGCAATAAGGAAAACTTAAGTTTTGAAACTTTAGTAGTGGGGGGAAAAAATATATCACGAGAGCAAGACAATCCAGCTCCTCACTAGCTCCAGAGGAAGTTCAGTACCCTGCTTTTGCAAGAATGGAATTTCACATAAGAACTGCTGACATGTGTCACACAAACATCCAATTCAGCAAATAAACACCAGAAGTATCATAACTTTTCATTTTAGAACCAGCACAAAACCACAGTTCACAGACAAAAACAGAAGTAAAAGTAGCTTAGTACAAAAAAAAACCCTAAATAATTACATGCAACAAGAGTGGAAAGCTACAACCCTTGAAGATATTCTTATCTATAACCAGAATGGGTACACACAGCAAAATAGGTTCACAAGCCACAGGGGAACACTTAGAATCATCTTATCTATGCAAATTTGTCAACCCAATCCAAGCTGCCTTTGTAACCCCACCAACTGTAAAGAGTGGGAAGTGCTGGCTGGTTCTAAATGCTGCAAAGAAACCTCAGGGTTTCTTGTGATCACAGAATTGTTTAGGCTGGAAAAGACCTTTAGGATGATCCCTGTAGGTAAAATAGTATCTGAAAAACTCTATTAAGGGAAAAGGTGCTGTGGCAAAGAATAATGTTATAGCCATTATCACATGCATACAAGGATCATCAGCAATAGCATAGATTTATATAAGAAAGCCACAGTGGGGACCATAGAACTGCTTAGGATGGAAATGGCCTTTAAGATGATCAACTCCAACCATTCCCCATCCCTGCCAGGTCCACACTGCCCCGTGTCCCTCACACCACATCTCCACGGCTTGGAAACCCCTCCAGGGGTGGGGACTCCACCACTGCCCTGGGCAGCCTGGCACAGCCCTGCACAGCCCTTGCCAGGGAGACATTGCTCCTCAGGGCCAACCTCAACCTCCCCTGGGGCAACTTGAGGCCATTCCCTCTTGTCCTGCCCCTTGGGAGCAGCGCCTGACCCCCACTCAACACGACGGACACACACGACGGACGCGGCGGGACGAGCCCTCAGGGCCCCTTCCCCTCACAGCGACCAGCCAGCGGGGGGAAAAGAAGCCCTGTGGGCAACACAGCCCTTCCGCAGCACCACGAGGGCTCGCTGGGCTAACCCGCCCATCCCGACCAGCTCATCCCCGAGCATCCCCACCCCTCAGCGGCCGCTCCGC